CTATTGTATTCCCCCCCCCCCTATGTATTCTGGTCTTATTATGAATGATTTGACTATGCACGTTATCTGTCAAATCAATGTTTATTTGAAAATACACCACATTATGTAATTAAATGGGTTGCGAATGCTGCTTTCCATTCCATTATTTTTTTGGCACAAACTGTGGAGCTCCACAGTGCATCTGTGCATATGTTTGTAAGGGTTGAGCTGACATTCTACAGTGTGTTTGTGTGGGTATATACGTGTTTGTTCATACTCGCATCGCCCTCAACCCGCATTTCTGCGAAAACATCTCCGGTTATCAGACTTTCCGCCCTTCCCTTCCCGCTATCACACAGTTGGAATCCATCTAACTCATAAAGATGTCTTTGTTTTGGCTCTTAAATAAATAAATAAAAAAGACAAGGACGAGTTAATTACCCACCCAAAATCTGTTCATCCTTATAGACTGTCACCCCCGATCCGTCAGTCTTTCTTTCACTCTCCCTGACTTCCTTTATCGATGTCGTCCATCTTTTTCTCATTTTCCCCCTACTCTAATACAATGTAATGAAGTCTGTGTTTAGCTTACACTCTACACAAACTGTCAATCTCCTCAGAAGCCATTTGTTGGAACTAAAGGGGCAAAAGCTTTAACAAAATGCAACAGATATCAGTCAAAGTGCAAAAGCAGCTCAGCTGGTGCGAGTTTTGGCATCAGCTCGCTGTCAAAAGCAGCCTAATTAAACCTAATGCAACCGCTAGCAAGGCACAGGGTGCCACAAAAGAGTTTACAGCTTAGTTTTGTCAGCTGAAAACAACCATGCCGACAGTATTCTCCCACAGACCAAGCCATTAGTTAGTATCTTCCTCCATAGGATACTGTGTGGGAAAACAAACACAAAAACTTCTGTTTAGCCTTCAAAGGCTGTAGTGTTGAACACAACATTCTAAGCATAACATAAAGTAATTGCACTGATTACTATATTAATTTACCAAGGTTATACCATGGTATTCTTTTAAGTACTTTGGAGTACCATGGTATTTACTCCAAAATACTTCAAAGAATACATTGTAAACATGTTAATGGTAAAACATGTTAATACCATTGTCCTTTTTCAATTACATGGTACTACCATTGTGTCTTGAACGTGCCATACTGTGGTATTCTTGAAAGCACCATGGTTTACCATACAAAATGTGGTACATGAATTTCAATAGCATGGTACGTATATCTCAAAGTACCATGGTATTACCATATGATGCTATCACTCTACCATGGTATCAACACAGTACTTTTTGTAACTATACCATCTGATACAATCACTATATATTTTGTGGGAGATGGCATTCTTTTAAAGAATACCATGGTCTTAACACAAAAAACATGGTAGTACCATGGTACTTTTTCACTTACAAAAATGTTTTTTGGATCTGGTAGTCCTGTGATTTTTGGACATGTGCCATGTTAATACGATGGTAATCTTCTAAAACTCCAAAATACCTCAAATAATACCATGTTAGTATCACAAAATCTGTGTACTTTTTCACTCAAAGAAATGTTTGCCATGTTAGTACTGTGGTTTTATTGAAAACTACCATGGTTTACCATTTAAACCATGGTAGCTGAATTTCGGTATCATGGTATAAAATAGTACCGTCTGATGCTTCACTGTACCATGGCACTGCCACAGTACTTTTTTGGAAGGCTACCATCTAATACCATCAATATTTTGGGGGGGAGATCATTCTCCTTCAAAGACTACCATGATATTACCATTGTATTAAGTCCAAAAACAAAAGTTTATGTGCATGAGATTGTCAAGAACGTCCTCTTTATGTGCTCTCCCTTCATCTTGTTGTTGTAGGTTTCCAGTTTCCAGAGTGGAGCACAGCCGAAACGCCATCAGAGCCTCCGGTGACACGTGTGGTCGATAAGGACAACACTTGGCTGTATTCTCTGGACCCCATTCTCCTGACCATCATCGTCATGAGCTCTCTGGGCGTTCTTCTAGGTGCCGTGTGCGCTGGCCTCCTTCTTTACTGCACCTGCTCGTATGGCGGCTTGACGTCACGCTCGTCCACCACTTTGGAGAACTACAACTTCGAGCTGTATGATGGGATTAAGCACAAAGTAAAGCTTAACCAACAGCGCTGCTGCTCCGAGGCTTGAGGAGAACAGATGGGGAGATATCAAGTATCCTAAAATGACCTCAAAGTAACCCGATTTGACTCTTTGAAGAGACGAGCCTCATCTCTTAGTATTCCTGGAATGCATGTCCATCTCAGCTGGAGAGCTCCTAGACTTAACTTCTCCTGGAGCTTATTTTCCAAGCAGTTGTGCTTATTCAGCTCTAACGCTGCTGCCAAGGACTTCCTCGTCTTTCACTGGATTACATCAAAAGTGGAGAGTTTGGTGCCACAAGGATTGAAACCCTTTCCAGGGCTCAGCCTCAAAATAAATGTCGATACATATCAATGTTCTCCTATTCCAAAAAGATGAGAGTATATCAGTTTAGATTTCTAAGAGGTCTAGTTTTTAAAATGGGAGATCTGTGACTGGACTTTAGAGCCACAAACGTCTGCCCACCATCATTCCCAAAAGTACATTTTGTGGCCTAGGATGTGGTGCATTGTTTTTAAAGGCTTTGATGGGTTTAATGTTGCTTTATTGTTGCTTTATTGTTTTTCCCTCGCAGAGAAGTTCAGTAGCCCAGGGTGATTATACGTCATTATTATTGTGTGTTTACAACCCATTGCTTTCAGCCAACCATTTTGTTTCTCTTGTCAGTCTGACAGAAATGGAAATGGAAAAGTAAGACAGATCGAGGGTTCTTAGATTTAGTTTTCGGCAAAGTGTGTTTTGTGGATTGTGTTTTGAAAAAAAAAAAAGGCACAACACTTGTTTAAAACGACTGAGGATTTTGTCAGTGCAACCTATGGATTGCTGTAACTGGGAGACAAGACTGACAAGCTAATGTGTGAGCTTTGAGCTATCAAACAGGCATTAAATAATGTGAAATAAGGGTTGAAAGGCTGACCGATACTGAAGGATGGGTTTGAAATACAATTTCTCTTATTTTTACTCCGGGCATTAAATAATTCTACAGTTATTGGCTCAGAGAGGTTCAGGTCCACTGCTTGTATTTAAAGAAAAAAGATTAAAATCTATCTGTGCAGTATATCTTGGCTCTTGGGTCAAACAGATATTTTTACACCTCAAAATTAATGTTTAAAGGGTCTGTAAGAGGTAAAATAGTTTAGATTTGGATCGATTTGAAGTAAAAAAAAAAAAAAAAAAAATATTTTCTTGAAATCCTTTTTGATATGCCTAGATGAGTGTTACAAAACCTGTCAGTGGTGACCAACATTAATTCACCTTAAAAAAAAAACATTTTACAGTTGCTGCTCTTTTAGGTTATGTGCAAACAATGTAGGACCTAACACGGAGACTTGAGGAACACCAATGCTTTCAAATGTACATCATACAGCAGTTCTTTCCTCTGTTTCATTCCCAATTGATATTTTTCTCTCTTTTACTCAGTTTTATGTTTCCATGCGTAGGCTTTATGTTAACAGGAGACATGTTTGGTTTTAAATCTGCTCCCCTGTGGTTTTCAAAGACTGGAAAAGGGTGGAAGACAGATGCTGTAAATCTTTACCTACTTGCTCAGATGGGATTTCTTACCCTCATACATGCTCCACAATGCATTGTTGGAGTTGGTGGAAATAAATGCACCCAAAGCACACTACACCTCTGCAGAATAAGACACGTAATGAGAGTCTGGGATCTTTGATATGGAGTTTTTGAGATAGGTGAGCATAGATGTTTCTACTGAACCCTGCTTGATCCATACACATACTTCTTATCTTCTTGAAGACTCTTGCTACTGGACCCCTGGACTTTTGCAAGTGCCTTGGAGCTACTCTGTTCCAGCCTCGGCTCTGGACCTGAAAAAGACTGCTTTGGAGCGTTCGTCTGTCTTAAACACTCAAAATACTTGAGAATCACAGCACTGGGTATAATTCCAGTCTCTCTTTGGACACTTTGTACAGAAAATGTGCTTTTTATGCTGATGATTATTGTTATTATGATTATTTAATAAAGGATTGTTAACATATTGGGTTGATGTGGTGTTGAACATCTCAATTTGGATCCATGAGGAACATTAGTTTGACGATGGGTCTTGAGTTTTGAGGTTATGAGAGCAAGGGCTTATGAGATTGATAAATGAGTAGAATACTCATTGCTCAACATGCTCACACACATGCAACTAATATTACAAATACCAGACCAGTACATAACCTCCACTGACAACAAAAGGAGTCCATCAATAGAACTTTTGACTCTATTAAATATCAACACATTCAGTCATAAAACACATACAAACTTGCTCTCGCTTTCTCTTTCCAGCTATGTCTGCTACAGTTTCTCTCATCTCCCCATGGGCTCCCATTAGCACGGACCTTCAGTCGCCTTCATTTAGGGGCTCACAACATCAAAGCTTTGAAGTGCCTTACTGTTCCACCCCCTAAAGTTCCCTTCATCCCTCTACCTCATACAACCACACAGTTGCATCCATTTAACTATTTCTCTACCTCAGCTTCCTCTCTGCTTCATAGTGTGCCTGCCTTTGCCTTTACCACTCTGGCTGTTTCACTGACTAATGATGGGAACAGTGAAATTCAGTCTAGTAAGGTCAATCAAATCAGCTTCGCTCAAGATCCCAAGAATACCAATAGTATTGGAAATGGAATTGTGTGGCTTTTGCTACATGTCTATGTTGGTGTAGTCCTTTAAAAAAAAAAAGTATAATTCTCTTATAATTAAATACACTAAATAAATGTATTAAATGGACTGCCGCATAGAAATGTAGGACACAGAGGCTTCCAAGAAAAAAGGGTCGCCCATATGGACATCATCAGACTCTGGACATGGACTGTAAACTTCAAATACTGTAGTCAACCTTTGACCATGATCTAGATCTAGAGAAATATCATTTACCATTTTCACGATTCATATTGCTCTCAAGATCAAAATTTTGACTAGCACATCAGTCATTTCTAATGTAAAAGCCATTTTGAAGAAATACATCAGTGGTTTTGTTGACTGGAATAGCATGATTTCCAAATATTTTAAAATGTTCTATTGGCTGATTCTTGATTAATGATGTTCTGTCTTTAAACTCAACATAAGGCATCTGGATGTGTGCCTTTGATCGGCAAGCTGGACTGAGTGATGGAGAACCAGGAAATTGCTCCGAGGAGCCCGGCCGTCGGGCTCTGCTTTTCCACCCAAATTATTCTAAACTTTTGTTTCGTAAATGTTGTTTTCCCTCCCTGCCAGATTGAAATCTAATTCTCCACTGGGGCCTTGCTAGCGAAGATCAGAGAGCTTTCCCTCTTTCTCAGTAAGCCGGACTTTCCATCAAAGCTCAGCCTTGCACGCTTGAAGCTTATAGGTGATCAGCTTTTGAAGGAGCCGCACTAAGAAATACAAAGAGTGCACAGCTAATTTATCTCCAGAGAACTTGACAAATGATGGAGAACTAGAGGCACGCAACTGTACTCCTCCATTCCCAGATGGTTACTGAGTCTAATGTCAGTTTCTGATGTAAAGGGTTTGGTGCGTCTGAACGACTCCATTGAGGGAGGGCTTTCATGTTGCAGATTATTCATTTGCTTTAACGATTTTAGCAGATGCTGTTTCTTAGCAAGGTCACTATACGATCTCCTCGGTCTGGTTGGTTTCACATCAGAACAGATACAGAAACATTTAAGATCAAGAGTTCATGGTTTCTATCTTTAAAAACAGCATATTGTGCCACTGAGTGTCAATAACAAACACTACATGTTCTACTGGTACTATTCATGACAGCATAACTTCCTCTGCTCTGTCCTTGTACATCCACAGATGGAATTATTTCCAAGCACCGGAGGTCAGAGGAAATATTTTTTTAAATGTTTTTGTTTTTTTAAGAAAATTGATCTCAGTGACCCTCAGTAACTCTCAGTGGAAGCACTGAGTGGAAAAAGCTTGATATGATTTTGCCAAATCAAACATGATATGCTAATCCTGCAAAAACAATTATAAATAAATACTAAATTGCAATTATAAATACATATAAATAATTATAAATACATATATTATACAGTATGTGCTATGCATATTTCTGATTATTATTTTTATTCATAATGTTATTATTTATATATGTGTATATATTATTATTATGAGTTTGGCATTGCTCCTTTTATGTCACCTGTACTGAAATATTTCATCGGTTCTCTGTTGCATTTTAAATTCTTGCTTTTTTAGAATGTTCCAAATTAGTTATGGTTCTGGTACAGTTAGGATGCTGTCTATGTAGGCAGAAGGCAAAAAGACAGCTCTGGGTTTTGGAACCGAACAAAAATATGTTGATCTAAGAACATGAACTACCTGCAAAATCATGGTCACTGATTAGGGGATAAGACACGAATGTAACTCTATAAAGCACAAATCAGCATCTTTATTTATCAGATGAAAGTTTATATTGTCTGTCAAATAGTTCAAATTGATTTCCCACATCTATACCTTTCCCTATCTCAAGCTCTGTTCGGGCCTTTAGCTCACTCAGCAGATTGTGGGACGTCCTCCCAGAGCAGCAGCCCTCCTCTCCCCTCGGCCAGCAGTTGAAAGCTCTTTTCTGGGTCATTCGAGGGGGAAGCGGGGGTCTGTGTTTCTACTGGAGCTGGCGACAACAGCAGTCACTGCTTCAGACCTCCTGCTCTCCTGCATCTTCATTATTAGCGGCACTGGAAATCAGCTCTGGAAGTAAATAAACAGAGGAACTGTATTAGAAAATCAGGTAGTCAATGGAAACTAAATTAGGTCAAAACTATTTTTATCAACAGTTTATTGTGGAAAGAAAAAAAATCTTGAGAAAGGAAGTTCAAATGTACCAAAACACGGCACTATTGTATGTTGTGGTGTGTTCCTTTCTGCAATAATATGTATGTGATATTCAACTTTTCTGAAATGAAAATAAGAACAGGAAAATGCATTTATAAAAGTGGTTTATAAAGAACATCTTTCTGCCTGCTCTGTTCCTCTTGCAAAGCATTTTAATCTTGGCTGTAAATGGAATGGATAGTAATGTGCAGTAGTTAAAAGTAACTAATCATACTGTGCTTTACTATGTCAGTTCCCATACATTTCTGATTTTAGTTGCTCTGCAGACTCTTTAAACAAAGTAATATATTATAACTGACATAAAAAGAATTACATGAAAATGTAGTGTTTATGTGAGTCGTGCTTGTGTTACAGCTCTGAATGATGTGTGGATTGAAATAAGTAAGACTCAAGGCACTCAGGAGACTCAGGAGTTAATGTTCTGCCCAGCTGTTTGGACGTTGATTCACCTTCACCAGACCACAATTAATGTCACTCAAACACATTTATAAGCTCTCATTCAACTGATTGGAAATAATATTTGTTTACTTTTTAGTCCTCCAAAATATGTGTATATGTATGTATATAAATAAATAAATAAATAAGTAGGCCTACATACATACATACATAAAATGTATCAACTTTTGATTTATTTGTTTATTTATTTATTTATTTTTATGGGAAATGATGGTGCAGTTACACCATCTACCAGCAGGCAGTAACTAGATCCACCAATAAAAAAAAAAAGAAGATTGTGCTTAATAACAACATTTGTTCCTCACAAAAAGCTACCATATGACTCCAAAATAAGCACACGGATTATATGGGCTACATTTATGGTGATATTTCATTGTTTTTATTCATTTTGGAGATTGTCAGTCCCTGGTCATTATGTTGTAGCCTAGTAGGGTTGCCAGGTTTTTATCGCAAAACCCGTCCAATTGCT